TGGGACTACAGGCACCCACCACAACACCTGGCCATTTTTTGGTTGCAGCCATCATTGTTGTTTGGCGGGCCCGGGCTGGAGATTCGAACCTGCCACCTTAGGTGTATGTGGCTGGCGCCTTAGCCGCTTGAGCCACAGGCGCCAAGCCTTCTTGTGAATTTTTTAAGTTTTGCTTTTTCTGTCATCTACCTGGAATTTATATCTGTGTTAAGTACTACCTTTACCTATTGTAAGGTAGTAATCTGAATATTTTTACCCCATCGTTCAAGTGTAATTTATCAAATGCCATCCTTGTCACTCCCACCACCTGTAACATAACGTATGCCTCTGACATACGTTTTCTATACCCAGGTAGTCCAGTTTATGGGCTTCTAGTTTGTTACATTGGTCTATTTGTTTATCACTGTACTTAAAGTACATTACTTTAATTACTGACGCCTTATAGTAAGATATAAATATACTTTATAAAGTCTTTTTTTGTGTGTGAGACAAAGTCTCACTCTGTCCCTGCAGGCTAGAGTGCCATTGGTGACAGCTCACAGCAACCTCAAATTCCTGGGCTTAAGCTATCCTATTGCCTCTGCCTCCTGTGTAGCTAACTGGGACTATAGGTGCCCACCACAATGATGGGCTAGTTTTTCTGTTCTTAGTAGAGACAGGGTCTCGCTCTTGATCAGGCTGGTCTTGAACTCCTGAGCTCAATCAACCTACACAGGCCTCCCAGAGTGGTAGGCTTTTATAATATGTCTTAATATTTAACAGGGAAGTCCTCTTATTCTCAAAACCTTGCTCTTTCCAAAACCATTTTTGGTATTCTTGGCTCTTTACTCTTTTATAAAAACTTTCAAATAAGCTAGTCAAACCCTATAAAAAAGCCTTTGGGATTTTGACTGAAATTATATTTAATTTCTAAATTAATTTGAAAATTGCCTTTATAATTGGATCTTCTTATAATTCAAGAATAAATCCAAAGTTGGTAATGACATTTCTAAGCTTTTTTTGAAAGAATGGGTTGATGTAGTTTTCTTATGTTTTTTTAAAAATGCATATTCACAAATAAAAATGGCTTATAAATTTCCTTTCTTATGCTGTGTTTGTTTGGCTATAGTGGCCTTGTAAAATAAGCCAGGATATATTCTCTGAAAGAATTTGTCTAAAATTAATACAACATGTTCCTCTCTTCCTTCAGCTTTACTCTGTATTCCTTCAGCTTTTTCTAATATAAAAGTTGGCCATCTGACTCATTTTCAGAATTTTGTAAGGTCTGACAATTAAGTTTGCAAACTTGCCACCATGGGCTTATGTTGGCAGTACTGTACAAACAATTCAGTAAGGTTTCATAACCTTGATGTATCAGTGTCTCACAGCTGTGATTGGGTCAGTATGTGGCAGTATCTTCCTGAGTGGCATTCATTGTTTTTGAGTGTTTTGTGTGCCATCACGAGAATGCTGGAGCTTGAATTAGAGCAATGTACAAACATTCGTAAATTTCTTATTAAACTTGGCAAGAGTGGAAGTGAAATCAGGGACATGTTAGTGCAAGTTTATGAGAATAATGGCATGAAGAAAATGGTAGTATACAAATGAGTTAAACATTTTTTCTGAGGGGAGAGAAAGCATCACTGATGAAGAGAGGTCAGGACGGCCAGTAATAAGCAGAACTGACAAAAAACATTGCAAGTATTCATGGAATTGTGCATCAGAATCACTGGCTGACTATGAGAAGCATAGAAAACAAAGTAAACACGGATAGAAAAATAGAAAAATCTTAACCGAAAATCTGGGCCAACAATTCATGGCTTTTGCATCACAACCATCCACCACCTCACACAGCACTCTCTGTAAGGGAGTTTTAGCCAGTAAACAAATAACTGATGGAAACACCCTCCCTACTCACCTAATCTAGCCCCCAATGATATCTTTCTTTACCTGAAGATAAAAGACATATTGAAAGGAAGACATTTTCATTACATTAAGGACATCAAAGGTAATATGATCATAGCTCTGATGACCATTCCGGAAAATGAGTTCCAGAATTGCTTTGAAGAGTGGCATCAGTGCATAGCTTCCTAAGGGGAGTACCTTGAAGGTGATCATGGTGACATTCAGCAAAGGGGTACATAGCACTTTTTCTAGGACAAGTTCTTGAACTTAATTGTTAGATCCTGTATGTTAAAAAATAACGTAAAACTGTATATTTGCCTCTGGGTTATTGTTTTCATATATTTTCATTATTCAAAGTTTAATTTTTTTTCTACTATGAATATTTTTTGCTACTTGGGTTAATTTTTCTTATGCTGATTTTTAACCTTTGATGAGGGTAGTATGTGGCCAATTTTAATAAAATTTCCAAATAAAATTGAGAAGAATATTTATCCAAGTAATGTTTGGGTATAGGGTTTTCTGTATGTCCAATGGAGAAAACTTGATACTGTGTTTCCCTGAAAATAAGACTTACCCGAAAAATAAACCCTAGCAGGATTTCTATGCTTTTGTTAAACATAAGCCCTACTCTGATAATAAGACCTAGTGATAATTAGACCTAGTAGCATACCTACCCAGATATGCAACATAGCCATGCCCTGCATTCTGGCATGGAGGGGTAAGGAAGACTGCAATACCTTTTATCTGCCACAGCTCCTTTCTCTGAGCCGTTTGCACTTGTGGGGGTGTGCGTGTGGTAACCGCAGTCGCAGGCATCCTATTGCGCACGTGTGAATGGCTAAGGGAAAGGAGTTCATGCATCACTAGCACCAGCCCCACCAACAAGGTCGGCTCCCCGGTCAGATTCCAGATGAAGATGACTTAACCATATTTGAATAAATGTAGATTGTTGTATTATACTTAATAAAATAAGACATCCCCTGAAAATAAGCCCCACTGTGTCTTCTTGAGAAAAAACAAATATAAGACAGTGTCTTATTTTCAGGAAAACACAGTAACTATTGTCTTTATCTTTACCAAACTTTGATCTCCCCTCCATTCAAATATTTATAGTAAAATTTCTAGCTGTAATAGTGGATTTGTCAATTTCTCTTTGAAGTTGTGTAGGTTTTTGCTATATGTAGATAAATATCAATGTAGCTATATAGATTTATATCTATACCCACGTATCTATTTATGTTGTTAGACACACATATGTACTAGATGACATTGTTAGGTACAGTTTAAGCTTAGAATTACTGTATCTAACTTATTCAAGAAAAAGCTCCTTTTATCATGTAATCCCCTTCTTACTCTTAACAATGAAGTATGACAAAGTCTATTTTGTCAAAATGATACCACGTTTTCTTTTTAAAAGTCTTTTCTCTGGTGGCTCCCATAGCCCAGTTGGTAGGGCACTGGCCACATACACTGAGGCTGGCAGGTTCAATCCCGGCCCAGGCCAACTAAAACCACAATGACAACTGCAACAACAACAAAAATAGCCAGGCATTGTGGCAGGCACCAAGTAATCTCAGCTACTTGGGAGGCTGAGGGAACAGAATCACTTAAGCCCAAGAGTTTCAGGTTGCTGTGAGTTGTGACACTACGGCATGCTATGCAGGGCAACAGCTTAAGACTCTGTCTCAAAAAAAAAAAGTATTTTCTCAGTACTATATAAACATTTCCCTTATTTTGAACGTTTCTGTACCCTTATGTTGGGTGTATGTTTCTTTTTTAGGGGGAAAGGGATTATGTTTCTTTTAAAACAACATGTAGGCTTGGCGCCTGTAGCTCAAGTGGCTAATGCACCAGCCACATACATCTAAGGTGGTGGGTTCGAATCCAGCCTGGGCCTGCCAAACAACAATGATGGCTGCAACCAAAACAAATAGCCAGGTGTTGTGGCGGGCGCCTGTGGTCGCAGCTACTTGGGAGGCAGAGGCAGGAGACTCGCTTGAGCCCAGGAGTTGGAGGTTGCTGTGAGCGTGATGCCATGGCACTCTACCCAGGGGAATAGCTTGAGGCTCTGTCTCAAAACAAAAACAAAAACAAAAAACAAACCATGTAATTGGATTTTAAAAAATCTGTAACAGTAATCTGTCCTTTAGGTCCTTACATTTGGTCCTCTTACATTCTAATTACTGATTTATTTCTAACATATTATTGTGAGCTTTCTATTTATCAGCTGTGTTCATTCTTTCCCCCTTTTCCTTTGTAGCCTTCTTTTGAGCTGAGAGAAACAATATAAATGCTCATCTTCATATCCTTAACATTCTTATTCAAGGTCTAGTTGGTAGTCAGCAAACTACAACCCACAGGCCAACTTCTGCCTCCTACCTCTTTTTTAATGGCCAGAGGGCTAAGACTAGCTTTCACTTTTATAAATAGTTGGGGAAAAAATCAAAATCAGTGGGGAAAATGGTTGGGGAAAAATCAAAATCATAAAATTCAAATCTCAAGGTCTATTAACAAAATCATAGCTGGAACATACCAGCTAAGGAGCCACACTCATTTACTTACGTATGTTCTACAGCTGCTTTTATACTAAGATGGCAGAGTCGAGTATGTAAATTGCAATTCAGATTGGAGGTGGAGGGAGAACAAAATAATTTTCTCTACCAGGGTCCAAGCTAAGACAGAAAATTTCCTTGTTTTCTTTTGCTGGTGACCAGGTTTATTGAGCGTTTTCTTTCAACCAGAGTGAAGCCCTTCAAGAGTCTCATCTTTGTCTAGGAGCAACTTTTTATTTTGCATGGTGCCAGGCCGGAAGGGCAGCCAGAACCCCAGCCAAGAAGTCCTTAAAACCTAGAGTGCTCCAGAGCATCTTCCTTCAATTTTCTGCAAAGGTAGAGGTGGTTCAGTCTAACTATATTTCATATGTATTTCAAACTGTCCCTGGGTTTAGTGCACTGGCTCCCTTCTATCTCCCGTGATTACTGGTACCTCCAATCTCTGAGACTTATCTCCTGTGATTACTGGTACCTCCAATCTCTGAGCCTTTCTGGGATTCTGCATGGCAAACTGGGGAGTAGTTTTATACTGTTCCCTCATACTCCACTACTATCCCCCTCTGTAATCATTTAGGTGTGGTCATTTCCCAGTCCTGTATCCACTTTTTATCTTGGGCTATTATGGTACAGAATTGTAGGTGTCTCTTCACTTCATCATGGAGTATGAGCTTCCATTCAAAGTCCCTTTGGTATGGTGAGTGATTTTCAAGACAAAGAAGAAATAGACAAGTCTTAATATCTGAAACCGGAACTCTCTCTTTATTTAATAAAGCCTCATAAAGTATTTCCTAGGCAACCAAAGTTCAGTCATTCTTCCTGTTTTTAACCATGACTGTCTTTTGCTGCAGAATATTCAGAGGCTGAGTGTTATTGGGCCTCCTTCCCCTTTCACAGGTAATTTTCCACTCTAAGATTTGATACTAATTCTAACTACCCTCTCATATATTTAAGATACTATATATATAACATCTCATCTTTGTCCTAATTCTCAAATAACTATTTTTCCTTTGTTAGGTTCTTTGTATCATTTACTCAACATCTTTTAAACTACATATTTGTATTTTGGAAATATTTTGTCCAGCAAAATCACTCCATAGCAAAAATCAAGGCTCTTTTGGTTGGAAATGACAAAAATAGAGGTTAAACTTCTTGAAAAGGCCTAGTAGGCTATGGAAGCAAAAACAGGACAGGAAAGGTATTATCACCTTAGGGAACACTAAATGCCACAGTTTTTCTTCTGCCTGTTTTTCCCTTCTTTGTGCCTGACCAACTTCTTTTCTACTGTAAACCAGCTTTTCCACAAAACAGGAGCTATCTTGAGAGCCTATTCTCCTAGTTTCACCATCAGAGAGAAAAGCTCTTTTTTTTTTTTGAGACAGAGTCTCATATTGTCACCCTTGGTAGAGTGCCCTGGAGTCATGGCTTATAACAACCTAGGGCTCAAACAATTCTCTTGCCTCAGCCTCCTGAGTAGGTGGGACTACAGATGACCACTTTAGAGATGGGGTCTCACTCTGGCTCAGGCTGGTCTGAACTTGTAAGCTCAGGCGATCTGCCCACCTTGGCTCCCAGAGTGCTGGGATTCCAGGTGTGAGCCACATTTATTTTGTGGCTTGAGGTTTCAACTATACCATGACTATAAATTCTTACCCCAAACTATGTGAAGATAGTTATCTATGAGTTTGGATAATTAAGTTTGAAAACTGATCCTAGAAAAAGTTCTGCGTACCTCATTGCTGAATCAGTATGGTCACCTTTGATGTACTGCCCTTGGGCAGCTGTGCCCCAACATCAGCCCTTAGCCCACCCTTCAAAGCACTTTTTCCAGGATGAGTTCACAAACTTAATTGTCAGACCTTGTATGACAATAGCTCTGATGGTCATTCTAGAAAAAGAACACCAAAACTGCTCTGAAGGGTGGAGTAGGTGCTGGTATCAGTGCATAGCTTTCCAAGGGGAGTACTTTGAAGGTGACCATAGTAATTATTCAGCAATAAGGTATGTAGCACTTTTTCTAGGATGAGTTTGCAAACTTAATTGTCAGATCTTGTAGTTATGAATTCTTGAGTTCTGTGCCCAACCCATGGTTACAAAGAGATGAAATATTCTGATCAATCCACCTTTGGTCAGTAGAACATTTAAAGTATTATGGTCATCATTACTATTAATTTAAAAATCTGATGCAAAACTCTGGCTTTATTAGTTTCCAAAAATTCCTGGATCTCTCCATGCCAAGTTTCAATGCAATTCATTTACTTACATACTTGTTGAGCCCCTACTTTGTGCATGCAGTAATGATTCTGTCCTCCTGTGTCAGTCCAGTGGTGAAGACCCACATGCAGTTCCAAAGTCAAAATTATGTAGCTTCAGTTTTGAAAAGTGCACTGAAGGAACAGTGCTTGTGCAATGAGCCTGATACTAACAAGGGAGCCAACCTACTTTCAGAGGCTGTGAGAAAAGACTGTCCTCAGGAAAAGGCACTTAAATTGACACCTGACTAATACGTACCTAGAAGAAACAGAGAAGTCTGTGGCCTGTGCCAGCCAATGAGAAAAGGGGAAGACTAAGAAACAGGGGTAGGGTTAGAGAAAAGTCAATTGAATATACCACTGCAGCAGAGACATGTTTTGTAAAGCCACAGAAATACCCAATTTAGGCTCCAATGAGCAGGAATCACAGACGTTAGAAATCAGTGTATGAAGTTGATAATAAGCTCGTGCTGTGTTTTCTGGACTTCCTATCTTATTGGAAAACGCCTTCTTAAATGCCTGCATTCAAAACAAGATGAAAGGAGGATCCTTTTCTGTTTGTAAAGGCCAAAGTTTCTCTTTGGCGTCACAGCATGAGCATGAGGGAAGGAGAGAATCCCCCCCCCCCCATATGAAGCCTGGCTCCACACCTTGTTCTCTTCTGCCTCTATTACCCTCCCTTAACCCAGCAGGTTTCCTCCTTCTGATTCTGAATTCTAACGGGTCACGCGTCCAGTCACTGCCGGATGCGATCATAAAAGCTCCGGGTGGAGGGTGCTGCCGCCGCCGCCACCACCCGTTAGCGCAGGGCGCAGGCGAGGGGAGGGCCGGGTGCGCGTGGCTAGGAGCGGCGTGGGAGCCGCAGCCCCACGCACAGGGAGGCCCGTCCGCGGCATCGCGCGAACGCACAGCCCGCGGCCCCGGCTCACCCTTCTCTTTGGTTATGATGGAGATGAGCGGCACCCGCGGGCGGTCGCTGAAGACCTCTGCCTGCTGCACCAGCGCCTCGCGCACGCTGTGGAAGTCGTTGAGGACCACCACCAGGTAGTGGCCGATGAAGAAACTGAAGATGTTGCCGTACACGCGGGCCAGTTCAGCCAGGAGCACCTGCGGGGCCAGGGCCTTGACGTCCATCCCCTCGGCCCTAGCCCTGCGGTTCAGCCAGCTGTGCCTCTTCAGGAAGGGTGGCAGCAGCACGTGGCCGAAGTTGCCCACTAGGGGCCAGGGTGTTGGCCCCGGGGGGATGCCTCGTAGTCGGTGCCACCGCAGCCAGTTCCAGCCTAGCAGCGTGACGAGACCGCAAAGCAGCAGCGCGACGCCGCTGGGGCCGAGCTGCAGCAGCCCCGGAGGCACCCTTGCAGGCCAGGGTGGGGTTTCTGCCTGGGGCTGCCGCGGCCCCACGGAGGACATGGTCGGTGAGGCGGCGTCGGTAGCCTCAGGCTCTTCTAGCTCACCCTAGGGCACGCACGCAGCGGCTCGCCCTTTCGCCTGTGGGTAGCTCTGCGTGGGCAGGTCGGGGGCGGGCCGGGGAGCCGCGGAGGGCGGCCGGGATAGGCTGCGCTCGGCGCGTTCTCCCCGCCGCCTCCAGTAAGCTGCGCGGGGCGGAAGCCGCGGACGCGCCCGGTAGTCTCCGGAGGAGGCCTGGGGAGGAGGTCCGCAGAGGGGCGGGGAGGGGCGTGGCGCGCGGGTCCTGAGGTTTGCTGCAAGGTTCGCTTAAGTCCCTTCTCTAGGTCAAGTTTAGAGGTAACTGCCCGAACCTAGGAAGCGCCCAACGCAACCTTGCTCTCCGATTGGCTGTGGGATTTCCTTACGTCATCGCTGGCAAACCAAAATGTTTTGAGGGCATAAACCGTGCCAGGTTCTGTGCTGAATGCTGGGGCAACTGGTGAACAGACCGCCGAGAGGACATTCGCGTCACGGGCACTTCAGCCCTGAGCTGGTGCCACTCTACTGCCCAGAAGGCTTGAGTGTGGCGTTCCTGGTAGCCAAAAGGCAGTTATTCTTTACCCAAGCTGAGATTCGCAGGAAGAAAAGGCCCTTTCTGTCCACCCAGAGAAAGCAAGGTGCTGGGAAAGCCAAGATGACGAGGGGACTGCGGAGCGGAGAGTAAAGCTCTAACCTGCCCTCAGCAGGACAGCCCTGACCTCTTTTTTGCGGAGGATGAAAGTTCAATGTCCATTTCTGGGTGTATCCTGGGTGAAGCAAACTATGTGCTTCAATCCGGGGACTGGTGAACAGACCGCCGAGAGGACATTTCGTATCACGGGCGCTTCTGCCCTGAGCTGGTCCCCACGCTACTATAGAATTCCCGGACGGAGGAGGAGTGGCAATATTGTTATTGGTATTAAACCAGACCTAAAATTCTAGATTGAAATATTAACTACAAACTGCATAATCCTTGAAAAACAAAGTCCTCCTTTAATCTTCTCTGATAATGCTATTTTTAGAAATGGGGTCACGCTCTTGCTCAGGCTGGTCTAGAACCTGTGAGTTCAGGCAATCCGCCCGCCTCAGCCTTCCAGAGTGCTGGGATTACAGGCGTGAGCCACCGCTCTTGGCCCTGATGGTCCTTTTCATTCACTCATTTCCACATAGTAAAAGTTTGAACCCCTTGCTATACTTCTAAAGGAATGACCAGAGACAGCAGAGTGAGCCTTTTATATTCATTCCCTGATCCATTTTATTTATTTTTTCAATAAGTGCTGCCAGAAGAGTACACTAAATTGCAAAACCTCTGTTCTCATGCTATTTTTGAAATGTTTTTTGTAAGTTTTTAATTTTGAGCTTATACCCCTCAAACACATCTCACATCTCTATAGTTAATCATTTCTTGCTAGATTACTTTTCTCATTTTTGGAATTTTTAAGAGAAATAAAAATAAACTACTTGTCTGTAGAGATAATTTTCACCATTAGAGCCTTGCTCTCTAAAACAGTAATAACTAACATTTTTTCCTTACAACTTAGGTTCACGAATGGTTTTAAAATAGTTGAGGATGTAACTAATTTAACAATCCTAACAGCCACCCTCTTATATTTTGGAGGATATACCTGCATTTATGGCATTTTCCTAAACATTCCCTTATGTTCATTAGATTCACAGCTCTGTAAGGCAAATGGAAAGTGTGTTAAGGGCTGAATTGTGGCCTCTCTCCCCAACTCATGTCATAGTCCCAATCGCAAGCACCTCAAAATGTAACTGTATTTGGAGAAAGAGCCTTTACAGAGGTAATAAGCTAAAATAAAGTCCTGTGGATGGGCCTAATTCAATATGACTGATGTCTTTAGAAGAGGAGATTAGAACACAGACAGGGAGAGATAAGACCAAGTGAGGACCCTGGAGAAGGCAGCCACACGAGTAAGGGGGAGATGTCTGAGAAAAAACAAACCCTGCCAATACTTTAAATCTTTGACTTCCAGTCTCCAGAACTGTGTGGGAACAAATTTCTCAGTCTGTAGTACTTTTTATGGCAGTCGTAGGAAACTAATATAGGAAGCTATATTGTTTATAATGTTTTACATGAATCATTTTAAACACAAAGCCACATAGCTCATCCAGTGCTTCTTAAGCATGAATTTTTCACAAATCACATCAGGGAATTTTTACCAGATAAAGAAACACTTCCTGCTTCATCTTTCCTATGTTAAGTAGGTAAATAAAATAATAATTAAAAGTGTAGAAGAAGAGAATATTAAAAGATCTTTTGGCCAGGAAGAGTCTATACCCAAGACGGCAAGAGCACTAAGGGAAAAACGTTTTCATTGAGGGCCCAAAGATAATTTTAATCTACCCACTTTGCCACTGAAATTTTTCTTGCTCTACTTGGATTTTGACAGGCAGAGTTGTCAGTTACAGTGTATTCAAAATAGCTAAGTACTTATAATTTGGTTATCAAGAGCAGCATTAAATTACTCTATTTGTAAAACTACAATTGTCCAGCAGGATTGTAATTCTATGGGAGGTGAATGCCACATACCACACCCATCTAGAGTCAATGAACATGAATAGAGAGGGTGTATGGCATAAGAAGGTTTTGCAAAATGCTAATGAAAAGGGAAAGTAGAAATGTTATTAATACTATTTAGTTACACAGCTCCACTGCCATTTAAAAATTAACACCTTCACTTCAAGTTCTTATGGTTTGCTTTATATACACTCCCTCAAGAGTCATATATTTGTTTGTATACTTCTTACTGTACTAAGCCTTCATGTGCCTTACCTAAAATTAGGGTAATGAATGTACCTACTGAAAGCATAAGGATTAAATGAAGTGATTACATGTCTAGCATTTAATTAGTGCTCAATTGGTTAATGCTTAATTAGTACAAGCTATAATTAGAATAGTTATTGTGGCCCTGATAATACTTTGGAAGCAATAGGTTAGCACTATTGCTACCTTTCCCTCATCATTCCATCCCCCACATGAAGATTTATTAACTCTTTGCAAGATTAGATTGTGAGACTGGCCATGATATTGCTTTCCATATTTGCCTTTGTGCCTAGCATGATGAATACATAAACTTGCCCATCTGTAACATTACCCAGCTCATTCCTCTGCAGTTGCATGTAGGGACTGTGATTTGCTTGGCCAAATATTTCTGTTTCTAATGGTTATTTATTTATAATTATGTGAAAAAAGATGTCATTATTCTCTTTCATGTTCTCCCACAAATTATTTCATTTTTAATGTCTATACTCTAGTCCAGGAGTCAGCAATCTTTTCCTGAACGGTAACAAATAGTAAATATTTTAGGCTCTGTGGGCCATACGGTGTCTGTCACTACTACACAGCCCTGCTGTGGGAGCAGGAAAGCAGCCGTAGACAGTAAGCAAGCAAACAGATACAGCTACATTCCAGTAAAACTCTCTTTTAGCAGCTGGGCCTAGCTGGCTGACTCCTGGATTAAAAAAAACCCTAGTCCATTGTTTAAGAATATTTCAAAATTAGGCCAGGCGTGGTGGCTACCTCTTGTAATCCTAGCACTCTGGGAGGGCTGAGGCAGGTAGATAACTTGAGCTCAGGAGTTCGAGACTAGCCTAAGTAAGAGCAAGAGCCCATCTCTACTAAAAAAGAGAAAAACTAGATGGGCATTATGGCAGGTGCCTGTAGTCCTAGTTACTTGGTAGGCTGAGGCAAGAGATAGAGCCCAGGAGTTTGAGGTTGCTGTGAGTTATGGTAATGCCACAGGGCTCTACCCAGGGCAACAGAATGAAACTGTCTCAAAAAAAATTTTTTTTTCAAAATTTATCTTGTATTCATGGTTGTTAAACTGTTAAACTCTTTTTTTTTTTTTTTTTTTTGAGACAGATCCTCAAGTTGTCACTCTGGATAGAGTGCTGTGACATCACAGCTCACAGCAACCTCCAACTCCTGGGCTTAAGTGATTCTTTTGCCTCAGCCTCCCAAGCAGCTGGAACTACTACCCGCCACAATGCCTGGCTATTTTTTGGTTGCAATTGTCACTGTTGTTTGGCAGTCCTGGGCTGGATTTGAACCTACCAGCTCTGGTGTATGTATGTACCTGGCACCTTAGACACTTGAGCCACAGGTGCTGAGCCAAACTTTTTTTTTTGCTGTTATGAACAATAGTGCAATATATATCTTTGACTAGTTCAGGAAGATAAATACCAGGAAATAGAATCAGTACATTTCTAAGGCCATTGATATACAAAACAAAGTGCACACGCACACACACACAGAAGCATGCACTTTGCCTTTCTCCCTCTCTGAGTTGACTACTGTTAAGCATGATACATCCTTTCAGATTTGTTATGTTTAAATAGATTTCTCTCCCCCATCTCCCATAAATGGCATCATGCTATGCTTTTGGTTCACTAACCTCTTTTCATGTTTCCTAGTGTATTTTGAGAATCTTGCCATGCCAATGAGTATCAATTCACCTCTTCCTCTTTAACAGCTGTCTGGTATTTCATTGAATAGACCCACTTATAAATAAATATTTACCAAATACCAATTGTCAAGAAGTGTTCTTGGCACCGGGGATTCTATATAAACAAAATTAAGTGCTTTCCTTTCAAGAAGCTTACTTTTGTGGGGAAGGCAAACAAAAAACAAACAAATGTATAACCACTGGAAAGTGGTTAAAGAGTCACATTTCTTTTAAAAAATAGACATACTCTTTAGTTAGCCTGGCTGTAATTATTACCAATATAACATGTCAGTTAATGACAAGTACAATAGAGGAAATAAGGCACATAAAACAGGTGGTAAGAGTTGCTATCTATGTGTGTGTGTGTTGGGGGTGTTGCTATCTCATAGATGGTATTCAGGGAAGGCTTCTCTTGAATAGACAGCCAACTATTTGATGGAAAACTTGCAGATACTCAGAGGAGGAGCATTCCAGATAGAGGAAACAGTAAGTGCAAAAGGCTGGAGGCTGAAGAATAAAAGACTTTTCCAAGACCAAGGAGGCCACCTGGCTAGAGTAGAAAGGGAAAGTGGAGGGTGGGAAGA